CCCCAAAACCCCAAAACCCCAAAACCCCAAAACCCCATCTTATTAAAACTCTGTTGAAAAATCGATTGCCACAGCTTAAAACGGTCTTTCCAATGTAACCTCAAAATGCTGAGATATATGCTTATTGGTCACAACTTATGCTAAGTGACTAATTTCTTGATTTAGTGGAGTTATATAAGCTCTCCTGAGCGAGGGCAACTTGTATAGTAAATATGAGCTGCAATTAGGGTGTAATTTGTGGTATAGGCCAAATGAAATATGAAAATTAGAAGATCAGCATAAGCATAAGATTATAAGCAAACTGCTGATTTTGGCAAGAGTAATATTAAGAGATACTCCTCTTGCATACCCAATAGTCTATCCTAATTTTTGTGAGAGAGTAGTAATTTCTAAAACAAATCCTGAGTATGAAATTCTGATGGCTGATATAACGCACAAACTCATTATCAAAATGTAACTGCTCAAATGAGCCAAAGATTAGCCATGAAAGCTTTAATAGTTGGTCTCTAAGCTTTATCCAATTTTTGGGTGTACATAACCCGGACTTTTTCTAATAAAAGTTAAAAAATTTATATACTCGAAGCCAAAAGAAAGTTAATAAATGAATCTTTGTTGCTATTGTTTTAGATACTATTATTCACGGTTATTAACGAGTGCAATTTATTGCTAAAGATTTAAATACCTCCTAGCTAAACACAAATTCTAAGCTTCATTAATTGTTAGCCACAACATGTACTGGAGATAGAAAATTATTATCAGTATATTTATAAACCAGGATGAAGACGAAGTTCCTACAGTGAATTGAGAAGAAGATATTTAATAAATTACCAAGTCTCAGTAGAAGTGAAATAATACGAGTTATCGCTTAGAAGAAATATTGCCAATAATATTACTTATGAATTACTGATAAATGATCAAATGATTAGTATATCAGCTATCCATCTGGTATAAGCAGGATAAGCCCAGCTTACTACCAGTGAGGATGCTTAAAAATGATAATCGTCTAGTACAACTTTCAAGTTTATTTGAAAAATTCCTTCATTGTCCAAGAATGAGGCTAAAGATTGTTCCACCTCTGGTCTTTTCTTAAGGTTTGGTCTCTGAAAGACATAGTCGATATCTGAGCTGGTTCTGCATCTTTTACGGAAACGTTCGAAATCTTCCTTGCTTGAATCATTTCCCTTCAGTACTTTGGACTTCATTTCGGAGACCATGGCATAAGCATCCCTCTTACTTGGGGATTGGGAAGATCCAATGCTTAACACAGAGATTGGCTTGCATTTCATCACAGTTCCTCTACGTCTACAAGAGATTATTGCTGTAAACCTTACTTTAAAAGCTTGCTGGCTTTGAAACTTGGGATCTTTTTACTCGTATTCGTATCTCTCTTCAAGACTCAAGCCTCAAGTTGACATTTAGCAGACTCTATAGGTCGAGGTTAGGTCTGAAATATCTGTAAATCTCTGCTTACCTTCTGAGATTGTTTTGGATGAAAAATTTGCGAAAGACATTTTATAATTCTGCTTCCTAAAACCCTTTAATAACAATATTTTATTCTTCACCTGGGGTTTTGGGGTTTTGGGGTTTTGGGG